GAGGGGACATCCGGGCGGACCAGTGAGGAAACTTAAGGGGAAAGTTCCATACTGGGATATGTCCAGAACAGGTCTAGAGGAGTCGAAGCACTGACTGCCAAACTGAAATCAAGAATTTGTTTATGATAATATGAAAGTTATTTTTGGAGATGCAAAGGTAGGTTCATAGTGGTGTTTTTTTTTTATGTGGAGAAGCCCGTAGATATGCAAATAATTTCTCACTGATATTATTCTTTTTTCCGAAACACATAAATTAGCTTCAGGTTAAAGATTATTTTTGTGAAAACTGAAAACTGCCTTGAAAACTAAATGCTGCTTTGAAAAGTGAATGCTGCTTTGAAAAACAGCTGAACACTGCCTTAAAAAAAACTGAACACTACCTTGCAAATTGAACACTGCCTAACACACTTACCAACCCAACCCAAAACATCAACAAGCTTGGTAATAAAGTTTTGAGGCTGACGCAACATATGGCAGGGAGTGACCCAGGAGGCAGGTCAGAAGAAGAGTCGCGTGAAAAACAAGATATGAAAACAAATTCGCCCTAAGTAAAGAGCTTACGGGGGAAAAACTACAATTGGCTTTTGTTTATCATAACTCTCCAGTACTCTGTAGCGTCATACTCATTTGGACGATAAATTTAGGAGACAGCCCATCGAGGTTTATATATGCATAACCACCCATCCAAGCCAAACAGCACAAGTCGTATCGTTGAGGTAAATGTTAGTGAAATATCGAGAGATGGAAGAAAAAAGACAAAACGAAGTATAATGTATCTTCCTGAAAAAATTTTGTCTTTTTTTTCATATATCTCAGTAACCTGTGATATAACATGTGGACGTGTTTCGAGAGTTTCCCTATCTGCAGGATTTTTTTTTTTAACAAATATACGGTCTTCAGCAGCAATCTTAACTGAAAATTTGTAAATCACGTATCTGGAAGCTAAGTGATTTAAACGTTTTTCTTAGAGGGTAAACTTGGTGCACGGATATTTTTGTTTTTAGACTTCGTGTCCACTGAAGGAGATTTAATGAAAATGCATCCCGTCTTAGGTTAGACATTAAAAGATTGTACTGTTATTGAAGGTATCGCAAAACCCAGAGAGAACGAGAAGAGAGAGAGAGAGAGAGAGATTGAGAGCAGAGAGAGAGAGAGAGAGAGAGGAGAGAGAAGAGAGAATGAAGAGGAGACAGAGAGAGAGATGACGAGAAGAGGAGCAGCAAGACAGAGAGAGAGAGAGAGAGAGAGAGAGAAAGTGTATAACCATTATTGAAGCTGAAAGTAACCCAAAGAAAAGCTATAAAATCATTAGTGATATTGAGAGTAGCCCAAAATGCATCTTTGCCATACAAATTTAAGGCAAAAAAAAAAAAGAAAAAAAATCCCACCAGTTGTGGGCACCTTGCTTAAGAGACAAGTTTTGCTGCTGCAGCTAGTTGCTTGTGGAGCCCATAGCCATTCAGTACAAAGTAAAGCAAGAGTTTATGAATACACATTATATCTTGTTACTACAGGAAAAAAAAAAAAAAGCTTTCTGGAGCACACTGGGAGTCACATTTTTTTAACACAACGGCCGTTTCCCACCGAGGCAGGGTGACCCGAAATAGAAGAAACACTTTCATCGTCACTCATTCCAGCATTGTCTTGCCAGAGGTGTACCCATACTACGGTTCAAAAACTGCAATATGTTTCCACCCTTCCTTCAAAGTGCATATTACTTACAGATCATAGTTTTCCCATCTGCTACAACCAATTTAAGATGCTCGCTCAGAATTTGTGGTATCCTGTTCTTATTAATAAGATTCTATAACATGTCGTTTAGGTTAATATTCTATCCCTGTATCCCTCAGTAAGTGAACAGTAAAGCAGTGTTCAAGAAAGTGACCGTAAGGGTGGCTGCATACTTTATATTTAAGCTTGTGTATATGCCAGACTGTCAGAGATACTTGTAAGCAAGGCTAAACTTGGCTACTGCGGCATCCATCAGTCTGTTTATGTTGCACCTAGACCAGAGCAACGGTGTGGGAGGTTCTGAATAGAGAAGAGATTAGGGACTGACTGGTGCAGGGACAGATTAGAGACTGCTGCAAGGACAGGAGATTAGAGACTGACTGCTGCAAGGACAGGAGATTAGAGACTGACTGCTGCAAGACAGGAGATTAGAGACTGACTGCTCCAGGGACAGATTAGGGACTGATTGCTCCAGGGACTGATTAGGGACTGACTGCTCCAGGGACAGATGATAGGGGACTGACTCGTGAAGGGACCTGATATGGGGGACCGGCCGACTTAAGAAAGGGCAGGATATAAAGAATGGATGGACAGAAGGGATGAAAGAGGTGGACATGGGACGGAGGATAAATACCAACAACGGGGATCTTTTTGCCTCCGGATGGGGAATTTATAACGCTCCCTCCCTCCCTCCCTCTCTCTCTCTCTCTCCTCTCTCTCTCTCTCTCTCTCTCTCTCTCTCTCTCTCCTCTCTCTCTCTCTCTCTTCTTTCTCTGTCTCTCTTTCTTCTCTCCTCTTTCTCTCTCTCTCTCTTCTCTCTTCTCTCTCTCTCTCTCTCTCTTCTCTCTTCTTCTCTCTGTCTGTCTGTCTGTCGTGTCTTCTCTCTCTCTCTCTCTCTCTCTCTCTCTCTCTCCTCTCTCTCTCTCTCTCTCTCTCCTCTCTCCTCTCTCTCTCTCTCTCTCTCCATCTCTCTGTCTCTGTCTCTCTCCTCCTCCCTCCCTCCCTCCCTCCCCCCCTCCCCTCCTGTCTTCCTTCTTCCCTGACCTTTTTAATTTCTTTGTATCTGCTCCCTTTTTTCTTCCTCCCCACCTCATCCATTTCTCTCCTCCCCCCCCCTTGTCTTTCCATTTTCTTCGTCTTTCCTATCTTTCCACCTGCAAAATCCATCACTTCCTCTTTCTTGTCTTTCCACTCTTTTCCCATTTTCCGAGTTTGTCACCCACCCCACTACCTTCCCCCCCATCCCCCAATACCCCCACCTCAGTACCCCCACCCAAAGAATTATCACCAAAGAGGAGACGTAAGAATAACAATAGGGATTGTCTGTCAGTCTGTCCGTCCGTCCGCCCGTCGCCTGTCCGCGCGCGTGGGTATTGTCGGAGATTACCGAACGGATTTATCGAGCGACTGCCCAGCGGGATTAGTCACAGGGGATTACACTCATTTGGTCGACGTTTTTATGGAGGTTTCGTTGTGTTTTTTGTTGTATTATGTTGATTGTTGTGTGCTTTTTTTTTTGAATCGGTTGTTGGTCACGCATTGTGTGTGTGTGTGTGTGTGTGTGTGTGCTCACCTATATGTGGTTGCATGAGTCGAGTCGCAGCTCCTGGCCCCGCGTGCGTGTGTGTGTGTGCGTGCATCCGTCCGTTCGTCCGTCTTTTGTAGGTCTTTCATCTAGGGAGACATCTAGTGGTCTACCACTCTGAAAAGCGCTGTTCCTAAAGACACAATACTTTCCCCACTACTCTTTCTCATCCCTATATCCCATGTAGAGAGAGACGTAAATGATCGCACTACATCACACATGTCATGATTGTCTCTGTCTGGAGTTATAAAGATTTTAGTAGACGAACCGTCTTCACAATACAATGTTATAACCCGCATTGTGTGTTTTGTTAACATAATTCTTATATGTTCTACCACTGTATTACCTCACTGGCTTTCGTCGAGACATAACGAGCTTTCAGACGGATATAAACTAAGTCTTCCAGTGGACTGCTGACACTAATATTATGTTCAGGGAGTACAAATTTCCGGTCCTTTGCTATCGAAAAAAATAAGGACAAGACCAACTTAGATCGTTTATATAGAGGAAGTTTAGTGAGTGATTTAGAAGTGACATGACAGAGTATCTCACATTCAAGGATCACAAGAGCGTTAGTATTGCAACCACAAGAAAATTATTAGCGTGATAACTAGAACATTCAAAACAAGAGATGGCGAGCCAGTGATAATTTTCTTCAAGGCATTAGCCCTCTCTAGGTTGGAATACTGTTGTATACCAGCGGCCCCCATTATGGCTCGATATAATATTGCAAAACTGGAAAACTTAGAAAAACTCCACTGTTCGTATAAATTCAGTCAGGCTTCCGAACACTGGAAATGTTTGGAGACGCATAAGTTGTACTCATTGGAACGTAGCCGAGAAAAACGCATCATAATCTACACCTGGAAAAATTCTAAAGGGATTGGTCCCAACTCTGCGCAATGAAATCGCTCCATATGGAAGCAAGAGATTTGGCAGACGGCACAAAATACCACCAATGAGTAATAGGAGCGCGATGAGTATAATAAGTGTATGGAGACCAAGCTTCATCAACACGCTCCTTTCGTGTATTGGGGAAATTTTAATAAAACCTTGGGAACTTGGTACGTTTTTCAAGTTGGTTATCAGCCAGACTGTGGTGCATGCATTAGAATGCGTGGAGCTGGCACCAACACCTTGGTTGATCGGGCCATCAAACGGGAGGCCTGGTCTGGAACTGGGCCGAAGGGGAAGGGTGAACCTCGAAATAGGCTCCAGGTAGTCTCCAGGTGGGTAGAACAGCAACCAACAGGAGCTGCTGGTGATGTATCACTGTGGTGCTGGGAGAACTGCAACCAACAGAAGCCACTGCTGTGCTAGAAGGTAGACGTACTGCAATAGAGAATGAGAGTTAGGCTATGCAAAAATCTCCCATCACAACCACAGCCATCTGTCACAGCAGTGATGAGAACATGTAACCCGATGTGTGTACAGCTGACAGCTTATATGTCAACTGCCTGGAGCAAAAAAATTTTTTTGACAAGTCTGAATTTCCAAATGTTGTAATTTGTCATATTTTGACGATTGTGGTTCATGTAGTCACAAATAACCACATTTGCCTGTTTTGTGTATAGTCTCTATCCCTCTAATCTATACTCCGTCACCGGTCTTCTTTTCGCCTTCCGTGATTAACTTTCCACGCAAGACTTAACGAGTTAATCACTTGGTTGTCTGCTTGTTCCAGATGCGTCGGGGACCCCTCCAGACCCGGCCCCGCCGGAAATCCCCGTGCGGGGCCCCTCCCACCACCACCCGCTGCTGGCGGCGTCCCGCAGGGCGGGGGGCGGCGCCCCACCCTCCGCCAACAACACTGCAGTGGCCCCACCCTCACCTCACTACCAAGACCACCACCAGGATGACACCTACCAACAACCCAATTCTAACGTCTTCCTCTCCCAAGGTGAGACACACTTCGTTCTACCACACCAACCGCATTATGTAGCATTATGTGATGATTTGTTACTGTTCACTGTTATGTGATGTCAGTCATTCTTCTTTTTATGTGATGATTTATCATTATTCCCACTTTTATGTGATTTGTCCGTCATTCTTGTCACTGTTACTTAAGATCTGTCATTCTTCTTCTTATGTGATGATCTGCTTTAATTAGTATAAGATAATTTATCACTCAGTATCCTATTTTCTTATCGTAATAACCTGACACTCATTATCCTCATTCCATTATTATATGATAATCTTTAACTCATTCTGTTATATGATAATCAGTTTCTCTATCTCTATAGCATTATCAGTAAAGCTTCCCCAATAAGCTTACCAGCATAGTTTATCCCATCAGCTTAACAAGCATTCAGGTGCTAGTCATCGAGTTATTGCGTACACATTATATTTCATCCCGACTAAAGTGTCACTTTTCCATATTTACAATCCTGTGTTGACCTCCATCATAAAACCTGCAGTGGTTTGGTAAAAATGTAAGTAATTCAGACAATCAGATAAGGGCCAAATCAGCCAGGTTGAAAATAATTTCGGAAGAGCGTTTGTAATTGATGTGGTCATGATGCTTGCCATTGTAAACATAAGATCGTAAGAATGTAAGACTGGAGGAGCACTGCACCAGGCCTGGTGGTCCACTCATGTACCTGTCCAACCTATTTTTTCAAGATACCCAAAGTTCTCGCTACAGTGACGCTACTCGGGAGGTTTAGGTTTCAGTGACGAAGGTGATGTTGAAGGAGGGAAGGGAAAGGAGGTACTCCGTCTCGGTCCTAGTTTGAAAACGAGGTACGTAGCTTAAAAAATAATATCGGGAACTCCTCTTATTGAACCAAAGCAGGAGGAAGGGATCAAAATATCTCTCCCCTAAATATTCCTCTGTGACCTACCAGCTAGTTGCCTCACCCTGTGGCATCACCCACCTCTTCACCTCACTCTTCACCCAACCAGACAATGTATGGAGAAGTTTAGAGGTTTCCTATATTACTTAATACTAAAGCTTCCCTCGAGCGAAATGTCGTTATATTTAAGCTTTACGCTTCGTACTAAACATTAATGATAATTGTACATTATACCCACTAAAGCGCTTCATCCTTCAAGATAGAACATATCATTTTGCATTTGGTTTGTAGCACTCACTGTAGCAATAACGATAAATTATTTTATTAATACTTCTGATATTAATAATGGGTCAATCTGTAAAAGATGGAAATATTAGTAATAATAATAATAATAATAATAATAATAATAATAATAATAATAATAATAATAATATTATTATTATTATTATTATTATTATTATTATTATTATTATTATTGAAGGGTTTAGTCAAATCAGGTTGAAAATTTTTGTCACAATCACAGCCCGAATGTGTTGAGGTCGAGCCAGTTAGAACATTTCATCACTAGAGACAGCACGGTAGGCCACTGCAGCTCTAGTCTTGTTGTAAATAGGCCAGTCGATTCTCTTGGTACTGCAAAATTAGAACGAGTCTTGTGTGTGACGTATAGAATTGTATATTTAGTTCCCATGATCCACTTAGCAATCTTAGCTTTAATCCACTTGATTATATTGCAAGATTATTCACCTTAATCACTTTGAAGTTTTTAGATTTTTGTCCTCTTGGTAACATTACAAGCTTAGATTTAATACATTTGATCCAAAAAGTAATCTTAGCTTTTGTCCTCTTGATTACAGTGGAGTTTTATTTATTAGGCTCATGATGATATTGCGATCTGAACATCAGTCGTTATCACATTAAGCTAAAGTAATGTTGGCCAAACCTTAAAAGTTTCTGTCTTCTTATTGAGAGCACATATCTTTAAAGCTCTAGTTGTTTCATAAAGCTTTAACAACTCAGAAATTCTCTCTCCACTGCTCTAATCTTGCATCATTACTTAAATATTCCACACAGTTCGCACATGTAAAAATTTCTTATCCGTTTGTGGCAGAATAAAACGCAGAATATTTTGTGTCTGTAGGCATCTCGTTAGCCGTAATTAGTCTCCTACGTTTCATTCACTGCTTTCGCTTTATATTTTCTCTTTTTCTGTTTTCTGGGCATAACTCAGATAAGGAAGCAAACAGCACGGTGGAAGGAAAGGCCAGCGAAGCGACAGTAACCAAAGCAAGCAACAGCAGCAGCAGCAAAGGGCAAGCGAGGACTCGAGGTGACGGGGTTAAGTACAGAGGTAAAAAGGAAGAGAGAACGAGCAAGAATCTGGAACACAGGGCTAGTCAAACGGTGGAATCGGAATTTGTGGAAGCGTCGGAACTTGAAACCGGAGAAGTCTTAGAGCACATATGCGGTAGAGCACCGGTGCTCAAAGAGAGCAAGTCCTTGGATGATCCCATAGATGGCGCTGCATCAGCCCTGAAGGACAGCAAGATGATATATTCAGAAGATAGTCAGCAATCGGAACTCAGAGCAAAGAGGCGCTTTGAGGAATCACAATCTCTCAGAATATCTGAGTTTGGAGATATCAGTTCCCCCGAGGACTCCAAAACCAGCACAACATCAGGACCGCAAGGTTGTAAAGCTTCCGAGGACCACAGAACTTGCAAAGCATTGGGACCTAATGGTAGTAGAATCTCTGAGGACTCTCGTGCTAGTAATGTCTCTGAAAATGTAGCAGCGAAAAACGCTTCGGAGAATTCCAAAGAGAGCGGAGTCTCAAAGATAATCAAAACTAACAGACGTTCGTTTGATACCCAAGCTATCAGAACTTTGGAAGAATCCCAATATAACAAAATATCAGAGCTCCATGGAAGCGAGGCCTTAGAACCAAATCTTGGCCGGCCGTCACACCTCGAGATTAGCAAAACTTCGACCCTGAAAGCTGGACAGGCAACAAAAGGGAAGACGAAAGTCAATATAGAAGACAGACTCAACCCGGATCCAAACCTGTGCCAGCCCAGCACCTCCAGAGGCCTAACAGGTAACCCACCGTAGTAGATGAATATTGAGTGTGTAACGTTGCTCCTTAGCAAGTTGTACCCACGTAGAGTATCTCTTGTAAACAACTCACACAGGAAAAAGTAGCGAGTCGCTGTAGACAAAACCTGTAGAAGGGCACAATTTATTAAAAGTAGAGAGTCCCTCCACCGCCGCAGAGACAGAGGCAGCAGGCAGCTTCTGGTAATTTACATTTTCAGGTGAGGTCTGGAAGAAAGTTGATCAAAGAGCACTCTGGGTAAATAATACCAGGCTCGCGTAATAGAAACTCGCTGCAATCCTGAGCAGCAACAGAGCACAGCGGCAGTAGAGAAGTATCAGAGCAGAGAAGAGAAGGAGAAACAGAAGTAGCAGTGGCAGCACCAGCAATAGCGGTGGAGCAGGAGCAGGAGCATCATCAAAGTAACAGCGGCAGAGCAGCAGAAGCAATATATGACGAGATTTCTCGCAATCACATTTTTTTAGTTTGAATGCAACTGTAAGAGAGAGAGAGAGAGAAAGCGAGAGGGAGGGAGGGAGGAACAGAGGAAGTCAAGGTGCGTGGGTGAGTAGGGAAGGATAGGAAGAATGAGAAGAAACGAAAATGAGCAGGATAACGAAGTTCAATAAAACACAAATAATAGTACACAGACAGAAGCAAGGAGAGAAGAATAAGATTGGTTTGAAGAAATTAAAAAGGGCAAGGAAGGAGGCACTGAAGATGCAGGGAGCAAGTTAGGAAAGGACACGATGGAAGGGGACAAGTGACGAGATTAAGCGTGGGCTTCCACCCCACCCCCCACCCCCTATCTCTTCGGCTGCTGCTGCTCTCCCCGCCGCCCGCCGCCGCCGCCGCCGTCGCCGCCGCCGCCGCCGCCGCCGCCGCCGCCGAGTTTCACCCTGGGTATTTAGCTCTGGTTTACATATACTTGCTATGGTAATGTGACGAGCAGTGAAGTGTCTTAGCAACATTGTCATCCTCCAACACTCGCCATTTTGTTTCTCCTAGAGTATATTTCCCCCTCCCCTTCTTTCTCTCTCTCACTCTCCGTAGTTCAGGTAGTAAAATCCGTCTTGTCTACTTACAGCCGCGGGTGGCAGGTAATAACAGTTGTAGTGGCTACAGGAGAGATTCTTTTGTCGTGATACTAACAATAAAAAACAATTATGTCGCCAACGGACGCGGTCCGTCGTTTCCTTTATTTCCGAAGTCCGTAAGTGTAGAGATACGTTATATCAGAGGAAGGGGGGGGGGATAATTTATCGCTTCTGGTGAGTAACGTGTCTGTCCCACGACCAGCGGATGTAGTGTTTCACGTAAATGAATAAATGAACAAATGAAGAATAAAAAGGCACAATACCGTGATTGGAACAATACACAAATAGCCCGCGTGTGATTTGTTTTGAGCAAATAACTGAATAGTATTTTGCCTCAGTATTTGCTTACGTGATGTATACGTCTATCTGGAGTCTACCTGGAGGGTGTTCCGGGGGCCAGCGCCCTCGCGGCCCAGCCCTTGGCCAGGCCTCCCGGTGGATCAGGGCCTGATCAAACAGGCTGTTACTGCTGGCCGCACGTAGTCCAACATACGAACCACAGCCCGGCTGATTGCGTTCTGACTTTAGTTATCTGTCCTGCTCCTTCTTGAAGGCAGCCAGGGATCTATGGATAATTCCCCTTATACCTGGTGGGAGGCTGTTGAACAGTCTTGGGCCTCGGACACTTACTGTGTTTTCTCTGGGGGTATGTTGCATTGCCTGCCAAGTGTTTTGCTTTCGTAGGGAGTGATTTCTGTGTGCAGATTTGAGATCAGTCTCTCTAGGAGTGTCCAGGTGTAGATTATGATGCATCTGTCTCGCCTGCGCTCCAGTGAGTACAGGTCAAGTGACTGGAGGCGTTCCCAGTAAAGGTTCTCTGTACATTCTCTAGATTTGCGATTTCACTTGTATAGATGTATAGATTCCCTTTTGTTGGTATTTGTTCAAAAGCTGAACTTGCATTGTTTACGAT